TTAAAATCATGCAGAAAATTATGAATTGTTTCCTTGTGCAATCACTGGAACGCAGTGCCTGTGGGCAGATCTCAGTGGAACACGCAGGGAAGTGTGCTGCGAATATTCAGTTGCTGTGAACACCTTTTGCCTTCTCTGCCAAGCGAAACCCTCGAATGCCAGCAATCTCAGGGTTTCAACAATAGAAAGGAGGACTTAAAGGGACACTATAGTCACCCAGACCACTTCAGCTCAATGAAGTGGTCTGGGTGCCAGGTCCCTCAGGTTTTAACCCTCCAGATGCAAACATAGCAGTTTCAGAGAAACTGCTATGTTTACATTGCAGGGTTAAGCCAGCCTCTAGTGGCTGTCTTCCGGACAGCCACTAGAGGCGCATCTGCGTAGTTGGAGGCATATTATGTCTCCATCGCGCAGAGCGTCCATAGGAAAGCATTAAGAAATTATGGACACTTTGAATGCGCGCGTGGCACTTGCCGTGCATGCGCATTTGGCTCCAGTGACGGACGGGGGAGCTGATGTCGGAGTGGGAGGAGAGGTCACCAGCGCCGAGGGAGCCCAGCGCTGGATTAAGGTAAGTGGCTGAAGGGGTTTTAACCCCTTCAGCACCATGGGAGGGGGACCCTGAGGGTGGGGGCACCCTCAGGGCACTATAGTGTCAGGAAAACCGCTTTGTTTTCCTGACACTATAGTGGCCCTTTAAACACAGGAACATTATCACTTATTAGTATTATTATGTTATTATTTATATGGCGCCAACAAAAATGAGTTGTGTCTCCTAAAAGGCAATATTTTACTGCTTCTTTGTGAGTTTTTTAAAATTCTTATTTGTAAAAAATGTATAGTTTCTGGTAGTAAAAACTATGGAAGTGTGATTCTATTTTACAGATCTGGTGGAACTTTGCACACACACACCAAATCATGTACACACACCAAATCATCTAGGATGTATTTGACTTGTTTGTTTGTTTGTTTGATAGCTCTAGAATATATTGCAAGTTTATAGTAATATTTACTGTGTCTTCATTGTATTAGTAATACAGTAATTGTAACATGTTGCTACATTTTGCCATTGCATCTACACATTAGTATATTCATAAGTATAATTTGATTTGGACAATATATGTGAACTTAATTTGTTTTATCTAAGCTCTGGATTCTTGTTTTGTTATCCTTTGTTGAGAATCTACATCTTTAGTAAATATACCCCCGTTGTTATATGCATATTCTCCTTAACCCTTTAAAGGCACACTGTAGACACTCCACTGCCCAAATACAAAATAAATAAAAATCACTATTTAGTATTTATATCCCAAATGAAAACTTGTATGCATTTAATTATGCATTTTCCATTGGTGGTATATCTAAAACTGTTTTCAAAACCTGCATTTCTCTTGTTTGCTGCCTTTATAAACCCTCCCCTTCTAACCCGCCCAGACTATCTGTAGCTGTCCAATCACAGACTTCCCAATGCAGCTCAATGAGAAGGTGCTCTGAGCAATTGCTGCCTTTTGAGTTTATCTCCACTAAGCTATCAATGGCATATTTAAAATTACCGCGGCTGAGCATAATTGCGTTCGGCCACTCTATTTAAAAGGATTTAAAGGGCTATGTGCAGCGCTCACTTTGAGCACTGTATATAGCTCATTTGTCAGTCTAGGGTGCCTAGCTGGCAGAGGGGACTTTTAGGAATCGAAAGATACCAGAGATTCCTCGGTACGAGCAGAGATTTAACTCCTGCTGGTTGCTTTACAGCATGATGGTTTATACTGTCAACAGGCATTAAAACCCTGCACTGTATGATTGCAGAGACTGTCATTGGATCTCTCTTTGCAGATGGTGTTAAGGAAAGCTGTGTAAGTCTCAGGCAAAGGGCTGCATAATCAAAGTGATTTAAATGGCAGAGAATTGATCAGTGAGACTGCAGGGGCATGATCTATACACAAAACTGCTTCATTAAGCTAAAATTGTTTTGTTCTGCCTATAGTATCCCTTTAAGTGTATGTACATGAATGTGTGTGTATGAGTGAGTGTGTGCATATGAATCTATGTGTGTGTGTATGAGTCTGTGAGTGTGTATATGAGTGTTTTTGTATATATGCCCATGTGTGTGTTTGTGAATGAGTCTGCTTGAATGTACATTTGTGAGAATATGAATGTGTATTTAAATGAATGTGTGTATATGAATGTGAGTATGTGTGTGTAATTTCTATAAGAAACTGAGTTGGGTGGGTTCAGAGTGAGACACAAATAAAATATTCTACCGCTGGGGGGAGGGGGGATGCCAGAATTAAATTCAGCCTGGGATGTCATGTAGCCTAGGTACACACGAGATAGGAAAAAATAAATGGAAGGAGGAGAGCAAAGAGAGAGGGTAGTATAGGATTGGTCGGGAGGTGATAGGGTGGTATTGCATGATAAGAATGAAGAGATCATTGTCAGATATGTTGGCAAAGGGAGGCAGGGTGTTACAGTTGACGGAGGAGATATGAGGTGCACCCTGGATATTGAAGGATGCTCTAATGTTTGAATTTGGAAGATTGGCCCTATATGGGTCCCGAATATATATAGTAGTGAACAGATAAGGGGGTAACCCTAAGATAATGGATGAAAACAAAAGGAAAAAATAATCTGTCACAAGATAATTTTAGAGAAAAGATTGAGCGAAATACTTTATTGATGAAGCTAAAAACAATCACAGACACCTGCTCAATCACTGATCACTACTATCTCAATAATGGATAATAAGAATCCAAATGGATTTATCTCTTTAAGACTCTGGCCCCATTGGGACTCAACGAAGAGTTCAACTATACAGCATTCATTAATTAATTATGAGCACTTCAAGCTATCAGTGTTGATTGTATTGATATCTCTCTTCATTACATTTGGTATTTAATTTAGTTATTGGAATTTTTCTTTAAACTCACTTTCACCATCTCTTTTAATTATTCCTATTCAGATTGGACCTTTCAACCGCTATAATATCTCTTGAATATTAAAGACTCATCACACATATCCATTATTTTTGAGTAACATGGACCACCATTGTTAATACAATTCTTGCCATAAATGGTCTGATTAGGCGATTTTATTATCGCTAATATTGGTTACTTAGATTGTTCTGAGGTAAAATATATCTACATAACATTGTCACACATTGTTTACCACCCCTAATAGAATTAAAATACACTTTTATTTTAGTTGTGTATCTACCTTAGACTGAGATAACTCTCTATGGTTGAGGACCTTTGACAAAATGCTTTTCTCATTTATTTGAGTCTGTCGAGCCACCGTAGCTCGGTATGTTAGTCCATGACATCATTGCGGCTGTTCCAATGAGGATGTTGGGCGGGGTATTTAAACTTACCCAGTCCGTGGAGTCAGTTCCCCCTGATGAGCCTGTGTTCGGCGAAACGCGCGTCGGGGCTCCTGACATTAGGTCCGGCACGGTGTTAGACTTTGTTATGCTACCTTGCATCTTAGTTATTTTTGTAAAGATTGTTACACCGAGGACCCTCTTTTACTGGAACCAGTTTAAGAATTTAGTTTAGCTTTTTGACTAGCACATATAGGTGCCCATGAAGGCACAGATTAGGGCTATAAGTACGCCGCTCTGTGGATATCGCTTTACTTTTAGGATTATCCTTTCATTTAGCAGTATAGTTAGTTAGTCCTTTGTACCTTATGCAGATAGGTGCCCATGAAGGCACAGATTAGGACCTTTTTTTTGCCACTATACTTTACCATATATTATTGCTAATTGAGGATTTATATACCGTATATTTCTTCTGGGTTCCAGTGGGACATTAACCCATTAGTTTATTTTAGCAGCTATTCTATTTGGTAAATGTGTTTACCTCTGCATGTTAGTTAAGTAGCTATTAACCACAATTACATTGCGTGAACTGCACAGCTACCTATCATTATTATCTGGGGGCTTATTTATTTAACTCCCCAGTCATTATATTCTGCCATTTCGCTGATCATAGCATGATATGGCTACCACTTTTTAGGTGCTGTTCTTTGCATGTTGACCTTCATGTTGCCATTTATTCGGTAACTTTCTTCTTTAGATATGTAGCTACTTAGCCTATCTATCTGTTATTTATTTCTGCTACTTTGTATATAGTTTTTCTTTTTTTTTTTCATTACGACAGTATCAAGTAGCTTTCATTGTCACTTGATTGCACACACTGTGCAGCTATTCGTTATTATTATTATCTTTTGTTACTATTATTTTTTTCTGGGTTTTTGCCCGTGTTTCTGTACATTCATTTTATTTTATTTCACTCCTATTCGTATATACCCCTTATTTAAGGTATATCACTTGATTACATCTGCTACCTCGATTATCCATTATTGAGATAGTAGTGATCAGTGATTGAGCAGGTGTCTGTGATCGTTTTTAGCTTCATCAATAAAGTATTTCGCTCAATCTTTTCTCTAAAATTATCTTGTGACAGATTATTTTTTCCTTTGGTTTGCTCTAATGTTTGCTTTCGCTTGAGAAATTAGATGCAGTTTCTGTTCCTGTTGCTTCAGTAAGGAGAGAATGGTGAAAGAGGGAGAGAAGGGGGCGGGGGGTGGGGGGTGGAAGATTGTTTAGAGTGCTGGGTTAGGGAAAAGAGTAGTAATCTGCAAGGCTTCTGCAAGGGTGTTCAAAAAACATTTAATATGAATTTAAAAATAAACTGCACACCATATAAAATAAAGGTTAACACTAGTTATAGGTGATTCTCAATGTTTTGTTTATCGGTTAAATTGTCTGAGAAGTCAATGTTCCATTTAAGCATATTTTCTTCTTAATTATACAGTCGTCTAATGAGTTTGAAATGAAAAGAATGAGCATCCCTGCTAACACACTGCTACAGAATGTCACCAAGAGAACAAAAGGATTTAGACCATGTATAAGGAGGATGTATTGCTGAGATTCTCCTCCAATCAGAATAGGGTCAGAGGGAGTGTCTCCTGCAGTGACAGCTATAGCTGGGTAAAATAATGTTGATGAGAAACAGCGAGGATGGGAGATGGTGCTTATGCACTCCAGCAGAGGTGACGTCTTACTTTCATATATTTTGGGGTTAAAATTATGGAGTGGGTTGTGTGTTGAAATTTAAATCATGATAGAGGATACTTTGCATGGAACCACTAGAATCAAAATATAATAACTCACTTATCACATTCAAGAGTCAGTCACTATGAACTAAAAAGTGACGAATTACAGTATCCCTTCTATAATGTATTGAACAGTCATTTGCAATATTAGCTGAAAACATACATAATGGCATTACATGATTTGTGGACAATCTGACATTTCTTGTGTGGTGTGCAGACACCTTATGTAGAAAATGAAACTGAAAGAGCAGGTCATTCAAAACATTTTTAATGATGTAAATATATAAATTAAGGAAAAATGTATAACAAAACCCCCTTCCTAATCACGTACTGTGCATCAACAACATTTTATTAGTTACATTATTATAATTGTATTATTCCTATACAACTCAATCTGTGATGCCACCTCCAAATTTTCAGCAGTGTCTTGGCAGTGACGAAGTAGACTGTGTGTTCTCTTTGTTGATAAAAGTGTTGATATTACTAGTTTGAGATTTGTACGTTATAAAATAGTTTCGCCGTTTTAAATTACACGTATTCTTTTGAGCACCTTTTCTAGGTGGGCTGCGTAAGTACTTTATAAATCTTGGTAGTTTGTTTTAAAGTTGGTGCACATATCTGGACATGGGAGGGGTTGACAAAATCCTTAGAGCATAGAGAGGTAAGTACCAGGTTCAATTTTGCTATTCAATATTGAGTGAAAAAAGGTTATGTAATAGTGTAAAATATTACTACTAAAACACACGTCCAACGCCACAATTGTTTTCTTATGAGAAGTTCAAGCCAGACATGACCATTTAATTGCACACAAATGTAAACATTTGTTTATTAATTAAAAATGCTAATGTTAATCCCAAAATCGCAGAATAACTATTTGCTTTATTGACAAAATTGGATGAATTCATATTATGAATAGGAAGGAGCTTGGAACGTGTCTTTGAACTCAAGGCTAACGCCCATTTCCTCCAAAACTGAAACTTTCAGTACTGTCTCAGCATCAAGCGTATTGCTGCTTTGCAACAGTTGAAGATCAGCCTTTTTCTGCACGGCAACTCACCCGCTGTTGAAGAACTGCAACTTCTCTGATGTTCAGTTTGCAGGGTTGGCTTTGGCCAAAAATGTTAGTGAATAAGCCCTATAAAATTCATAAGCAAAAAATGAATTTTAGTTAAAAACGCATATTAATGACATTTTAATAAGCAAATGTTCACAATATAAAAAATTTTTAGTAAATCAGCCCATTAAATCTAACAATCAAAAAAACAATGTTAGTGAATAAGTCCTTTTTTAAATCCAAAGGTCACTACTCCACACTAATTCTTCTTGATCTCTCTGCTGTCTTTGACACCGTTGATCATGCTCTCCTTCTTCAAACTCTTCAATCACTTGGTCTTTTGTGACTCCGTCCTCACTGCGTTTTCCTCTTATCTTTCCCAACTCTAATTCAGTGTCTCCTTTTCTAATGATACCTCCTCCCCTCGTCCTGTCTCGGTTGGCATCGCCCATGGCTCTGTCCTTGGTCCCCTTCTATTTTCTCTTTATATTGCATCTCTTGGCAAACCTATTACCTCTTTTGGATTCAACTACCGCCTGTACGCTGATGACACCCAGATATATCTCTCCTACTCGGACTTAGCTCCTGCCGTCCTTCAAGCCATCTGAAACTCAATCTCTCTAAAACTGAGGTCCTTGTCTTTCCTCCTCCTAATACTGATCCTCCTCTTTCGCTCTCCCTTCAAATTAGTGGTATCCACATAAGTCCATCCTTGCAAGCGCGCTGTCTTGGCGTTATACTTGATTGTGGCCTTTGAGACTCACATCCAGTATGTTACCAAATCCTGTAGATTCCATCTTAAAAATATAGCCCCCTTATGCCCCCTTTTTATGCAAAATGCTTCCAAGCTCTAGTAATTTCCCGCATGGATTATTGTAATTCTCTCCAAATTGGTCTTCCCAGAGCCCTATTGCCCCACTACAGTCTGTAATGAATGCTGCCGTCAGACTGATTTTCCTATCTAATCGGTCCTCTCACACCTTACCTCTCTGTCAGTCCTTACATTGGATTCCTGTATCCTATAGGAGTCAATTCAAAGTGCTAACCCATACCTATAAAGCATTGACCAATTCTAACCCCTATTATATCTCTTCACAGATCCATAGGTATGCCCCTTCTAGGTCTCTCCACTCTGCCCATGACCTTCTCCTGTCTTTTGCTCGCACCGGTACGGCCAACTCGCACTCACAGGACTTCTTGCGGGCTATGGAATAGCCTGCCTACCGCCATCAGACTCTCCCCTAGTCCTCAATCGTTTAAAAAGTTCCTTAAAACCCATCTCTTCAGGAAAGCTTATGGCCTCCCAGAGTAATCTCTACCTCATATACCTGTCTCTTGCTCTCTCCTAAAGGGCAGCACTCTACTCTCTCCTCCAGCTCTGCTTCACTCCAACCTTATTTGAATGCCATTTCCTGTCCTAATGTGTTTTATATCCCACCTCCTCTAGACTGTAAGCTTGTTTGAGCAGGGTCCTCTTCAACCTATCGTTCCTGTAAGTTTCCTTGTAAATGTCCTATTTATAGTTACATCCCCCTCATAATATTGTAGTGCGCTATGGGATCTGTTGGTGCTGTATAAATGGCAATAATAATAATAATAATAATTACATAGTCATGTGACGGCACTCAAAGGATTAATATGCCAATTTAAAAAACTAACTTCTGTAAATAAACTTTTTATTTGATAACGCTAACTTTGAATTGTTAGATTAAAAGGGGTGTATTCACTAAGGATTGTTTTTGGATTGTCAGATTAAAATAGATGTATTCACTAAGGCTTCCGGTGAATTACAAAAGCTATATTGCAGCTGTATTGCAGCATTGATAAGTGTTCCAAAGGCAGGCGCTCCGCGCAAATGCCTGTCTTTGCATTTAGCTCCAAGCAACAAAATCTGTTTGATTTGTTTTGTGTTTTAGAGATCATTTAGAAAAGTCCTAATTTGTATTAAAATGGGTGCTTTTCTATTATGAAACTAAGAGGACAAAGTTGAAAGTGTTCATTTAAATTTATGCCTTTTCCTGAGGGTCACAAACTCCATTTTATTAGAAAAATAGAGCTGTAAATGGAGAGGCACTCAGCTAATCCCAAAATAGCCACAAAAACTCAAACAGCAGTGTTACGGGTCATAAAGATTAATATCCACATTTTACTTGAATACTGATAAACATATTCATAAATATTTTTACATCATTATTTTATAGATTTTATTTGAAATATATTCCTACTAAAATTAAAAGGACAAATGTTGCATTGGAGAATAATTAAATACTAATCCCTTGACTTTTATTTCTGCGTTTTGTAGGTGACCGAGCACTAACCAGAAGAATTTTTACCAGAAGACTTTTTTTATGATAACATTTTATGGATGACTAATGAAACACAACTTTAAAAGCACTAGTTTCAAAGGTGATAAACACCCAAAGAGATTTAGGAATGGGGGATGCAGATGCCCCGCGTTGGGTTTTTATAAATAACTATAGTTATTTTGTGGGGGCAGCATCTACCTTCCTGTCCACAGTTCTCACATTCCCCATCTACAAGACGATATTCCGTCAGCAGATTCACACCTTGAGCATTAGGGCTGCCACTGGCCAATTAAGGAAAGAAGGGATTGCATTCCTGTATCGTGGATTGACACCACCCCTTATGTCCAAGACCGTGCAAGGCACAATACTGTTTGGTACTCAGGGAAGTTTCCAAAGTCTACTTTCGGGTGGTGGTAAACCAAGAACTGTCCACTGCACCCTCTCTGGATGTCTTGCTGGTGTGCTAGAAGCCATCCTCCTTGTTCCATTTGAAAGGGTGCAGAACATTCTACAAGATGGACGTAATAATAAACGGTTTCCTTCTGCTTACTCCATTATGCAGGAGTTTCAATCCTACAGCAAGAAGCAGTGTTTGTCCTGCGGCATCTATAGAGGCTTTAGCATCATTGTTGTTCGCAATGCTCTGGGCAATGCTCTCTATTTTTCTTGCAAGGATCCCTTGCGAGACTTATTGAGTGCAGAGGGGATTCCAAAATGGGCTCCTTCTTTATTTTCTGGATCTCTAAATGGTGCCCTAATCTCACTGGTACTGTACCCATTGGGTGTATTGGTATCAAACATGCAGGCAGCTGTGGGGAATAGACTGCCAAGTACAAGAGAGGTGGCACGTACACTGTGGGCACAGCGCGGGGGAAGAATAACACTGTTATACAGAGGAGCTTCCCTAATTGTTGTGCGCTCCTGTGTCACCTGGGGTGTAACAACTGCCATCCATGATGCTCTGAGCAATAAATAGAAAAATCAATTTTTGATATATACTTTTTTTTTTTATAATACAAACAGACATGGAATACAATAATTTTATATTAATGAGTATTTTATGCATGAATGCAGCTAGGAAATATGGGACAAAATATTAGGTCAGGTTTAGGGCACAAGCTGTAGCTGACAACCAGTTGAACCAACCCCAACTATAATAAAAAGTAAACCTCTTTTTTGTATAACTGTTTGGCAGATAAACTTTTGCTGGAAGCAACATTGATAACAAAAATGACTAATTTACACCTCTCCATCAGTCACAGCATCAAGATTATATTTATATATACTTAAATACATAATGTGACAAATACCTTAACAGAAAAAGTACAGATCGCTGGTACGGGTGAGAGAAGAGTCTGGAGAAGAGTTTAACCCCTTAAGGACACATGACGTGTGACGTGTCATGATTCCCTTTTATTCCAGAAGTTTGGTCCTTAAGGGGTTAAAGTCACCAAAAATAAAACATCTTACACATTTGTAAGTCAGAAAGCTGTAGCTTCTAGAAAATGTCTTTGATGGGGATTTAATTTATACATCACTAACTCTCTGTTACAGGTTTTCAGTTTAACCTCTTAAGGATGGAGCCAATTGTACAAGTTCTAAACCAAAACAAATCATAGAATTTAAACTATATGTTTGTTCAACCATAATTTACCTCTTTAATATTAAGTGTACCCACACGTATTGTATATCATTTTGTTCATGAGAAACAGGGATTTAATTTCCCATAAAATATTTATATACAAAACATAATTCAATATGAATAAAAATCTGAAAAGGTGTGAGAAATTAAGAAATTGTGTTGTTTTCTAAATTCTGCATTGCATTTTAACTGTGAATGTCAGTACTGATAGCTTTTACTGCCATAAAACAACACACATATGTGCAGGGCCGCTATCAGGGGGTAACAACCATAACGGCGGCCACGGGCCCGGCGGTCTTGGGGGGCCCGGACTGCTTTGGCAGTCCAGGGCCCCACAATTACTCTCTGCACCTATATATAACAATGAACGCAAATGGCCCCCCGGCTCCCTATATTTGCAGAGGGGGCTCAGCGGACTGCGGCTGTACTTTACATCCACAACACTAACACACACACTGCATCCACTACACTGACACACACACTGCATACTCTACACTAACACACACACTGCATCCACAACACTAACACACACTGCATCCACTACACTGACACACACACTGCATACACTACACTAACACACACACTGCATCCACAACACTAACACACACTGCAGCCACAACACTAACACACACACACTGCATACACTACACTAACACACGCACTGCAGCCACAACACTAACACACACACACTGCATACACTACACTAACACACACACTGCATCCACAACACTAACACACACACACTGCATACACTACACTAACACACACACTGCATCCACAACACTAACACACACTGCATCCACAACACTAACACACACACTGCATCAGGCCTGGACTGGCCATCGGGCAAACCGGGCAAATGCCCGGTGGGCCGCAATGGCCATGGACCAAGGCCGGTAGGAAAGATCAAGAGATCTCCCCTACCGGCCCATGCGCAGCAGCACCGGCCCCAAGATGGAGTTCTATCCCATCATGGGCCGGAGAGGAGATCGGGCAGTGAGCCGATCACCCTCTGCGCACACCGAGCAGCTTCCTTTCTCCTCTTCTCGCGAGCTCCGAGATTATCAGAGCGTTGCCATGGTAACCCACGGCAACGCTCTGAAAAAACGGCGCTCGCGAGAGGGAGAGAGACCTTGTCTGTACCCTGCGGGGTACAGACTGAATTACCTGCCGCTGGACCACCAGGGATGTGTGTGTGGCGTAGCCCCCCCCTCACTGGACCACCAGGTATGTGAATGCTCCCTCCCCCCCTGCAAAGTTAAAAGGGAGAGTAAATGGAATTATTATTATTTTTTTTTAAACTTTTTAATAATAATTTAAGGCCATATACACACACAAACACATTACACACATACAAACACACTACACACACTGCACCACTAACACACAAACATTCTGCTCCCCACCACTAACACACAAACACACACTGCACTAACACACAAACACACACTGCACTAACACACACTGCACCACTTACACACACTGCACTAACACACAAACACACACTGCACTAACACACACTGCACCACTAACACACACACACACTGCACTAACACACACAAAACATGGACCAAAAACCACCAACACACACACACTGCACTAACACACAAACACAGACTGCACTAACACACACTGCATCACTAACACACACACACACTGCACAAACACACACTACACACATTGCACCACTAACACACAAACATTCTGCTCCCCACCACTAACACACAAACACACACTGCACTAACACACAAACATACTGCTCCCCTGCACAAACACACACTGCACTAACACACAAACACACACTGCACTAAAACACAAACATACTGCTCCCCTGCACTAACACACTACACACACAGCACCCCCTGCACTAACACACAAACACACTACACCCCCTGCACTAACCCACAAAAACACTGCATACACTCTATACCCCTACATACACACTACAGCCCCTGCATTAACATACAATACACACTCTATACCCCTATATCCACACTGCACCTCCTGCACTTACACACAAACACACTACACACACTCT